GAAATAATTCCAGGGAGCATCATCAGGGGCCTAACCACTCCCAGGGACGGGTAGAGCCCACATCACCCCCCACACACTGACAGAGCCAGGTCTTTAAACCTTTTCAGAAAGCCGGGAAGGTAGGGGTCTGCCAACCTCTGGGGGGAGAATGTTCCAAATGGCAGGGGCAACGGCAGAGAAGGCTCTCTTCCTGGGCCCCGCCAGCCAACGTTCCCTCACTGACGGGATCCACAACATGCCCTCTCTGCCTGACTGGGTGGGATGGGTTGATGTAATGGGGGTGAAACGGTCCCTCAGGTAACCTGGAGCCATGCCATGTAGAGCTTTAAAGGTAATAACCAACACCTTGAATTGGATCTGGAAGCAAACTGGCACCCAATGCAGCTCCCTCAGCAAAGGTGTTACGTGTGCCATCCTAGGGGCATCTAATGTCCGTGTGGCTGCCTTCTGAACCAGCTGTAGCTTCCGGATACTCTTCAAGGGTACCCCCGTGTAGAGGCATTGCAGTAGTCTGACTGAGAGATGACCGGGGCGTGAGTGACTGACCGGAGAGCCTCCTGATCCAAGAAGGGGCGTAACTGGCGCACCACCCACAGGTGGGCAAAGGCCCTCCTTGCCACGGCTGCCACCTGCTCTTCAAACAGTAGTTGCGAGTCCAGGAGGACCCCCAGATTACACACCGGGTCTGTTTGGGGCAGTGCAACCCCATCCAGAACCAAAGATGGTAATGCAGAGGGGCCTCCGATCCACAGCCGCTCTGTCTTACCGGGTTCAGCTGAAGCACGTATTTGTAATTGGTCTCGTTTCCTTTTTAGTTCTCTGTTTTTACTTGTCTTGTTTGAATAAAAAAGAGCATTCACATCAGACACCTATTGTACAGGATACCAGTAATATGATCCCCCCCTTTTTTTAAAGAGAGAGCGACGGACTCAGAGGGAAAATACTCTAGAGCTTACAGAAAAGCTTAACAGTGATTGGAAAGAGATCCAAGCCTTCTTGTTGCAGAGGACCTCCAAGTCAGAAACGCAAAATCAAGTTCAAGAAAAACCCAAGGTGAGCTTTATTTATCTGTATCCCCTATCCAGAATTGTATTGTGGGAAGAAAGCTATTTGCTAGTAACATGCGCTTTTTACTGAATGTCCTGGAAAAACTGAGTCATTTTTCTCCCTTCCCCAGTGACAGGGAGATTGCCCTCAACTGGCCTGTGGGAAGACTCATAGAAGTTGCTTTGTTTTATAAAACAGTCTTGTGTTTTTACTGTAATTATTACTTATATATCGAAGGGACTGGGTCGTTTCTTGTCTAGTTAATGATGTCATCTTGCCGTGCTTCACTCCGTTTCCTAGTTATTTGTGAAATACCTGTTAATCAGGAGACGTTTCTGCTTGTGGACTGGGTAAAGGGAGTACTTTTTCATGCAGTGGCTAGTCTAGTCCCTCTTTATGGCCAAACCACCACCGTGTACCTGTTTCATATCGGTCACTTGCTTTCATGTTCATTCTACGTTGATCACCAGTTCATTCTTGATGCTATTTTTTCTTGTTTTGCTACGCACACGTTCAGATTACTTTAAGGTTCTTCCTGACAACGCAACTTTCATTCACGTAGAATAAAGTGGGCAGAAGCACATTCTGATCCACAGCCGTTTCACTGTTTGGGTTACAACTGTTCCATTTCAATCCAGGGACTGCATTTGCAGGTCATCCTAGCGGGATGGAGCACTATGTTCTCTTAAGCGTTGCTGAGCTCTAGAGCTCACAACTAGATAACGAAGCCAAAGCTAACAAACTGCATCCTTCGCAACCTGAGGGTGCCAAGCAACACGGTGCCCCCAAAGCCTAGAATGCAGCCCCTCAGATCTCCAAAAGTTGGAATCAAGCCGCCATTTCTGAAGTGATGAAAGGGGAAAAAAACAGTAAATTTACGACTAGAATCAAACGCTCATTGTATTTAACATGAAATGAAACGTTTTGAATAAATTAATTGCAGACTTTATTTTGATTTTACCTTCTGTTATTGGCTGGACACCCACTTCATAAGGATGTCTGGGTTTGGGGATTAGGCTGGTGTTTAAAGGCTGCCAGTAAGACAATTGTCAGTGGGGTCTGAGGCGGAGCCAAGGGCCAAAAATGAGGTTCCAGCAGGAATTGAGGCATCAGAACTACAAGGATCAGAAAGTAAAGGCTGAGTTCACGCATGGGGCTTGGCCATCACGTGGATGTGTGATTTTGCCTTGGTGGATTATATGAATAGTAGTTCAAAAGAGGGTAAAGGGTTCCACTGTAACTTGGTTGGTTGATTCATTCTGCTAAGCCTGGGATAGGCCATCTACAGGCGGCCCCTGGCCGTCCAGGACTCACGGTGCTAAATTTGCCAAGGAACTGCCAGTGGAATTTCTTGCTGTGTTTTGGCTGATCTCTAAATAAATGAGGTATATTAAATTTTCTGGTGGCTTTAACAAAACTGATACAGCAAATTCACAAGGGAGCCCCCAACTTAAAATGGAGAAACTGGCTGCATTTACTTGCATGCTATAACAGTGTCCCTGTCAGGTTCAGCCCAAAGAACTCCCCGAGACAGTGCAGATACAGTTCTGTTGCGTTTATTAGCTTCCACCTCAAGACAGAATCTCTCCAGACTGAACCTAAGTTCCAAAGCCAGCGAGCTACAACACCATGAATTCCTTAGAGTGGTGCCAGTCTCATCTTCTTAAACTTCCCACACTCCTGTTGGCGGCTAAGGAAACGCTTATCTCCCCGAGCGTGGCCTTCATAACACCATTCCATCACAGTCCCGACCCATTTGCAGCCTCTTTAAAGTTACCACATCTGCAGACTTCCGTAGACGACGCTTGGTAGATGACAGGGACTGGTGTTCCTTATCCTTGGAAGCCAAAGCCAAGAACTCACATTGTGAATTCGCATGATGGATGATCTCCATAGTTCCATAGTAGCTATTATAACTTTAGCATTCCCCAAACAATATAGGGCACTGCTGCTGCCCATCCAGCTTTTCAGAAAGACTCCCTAATCCTGAGTCCAGAGGGCATAAAACATCTGGCCTTGCAACTCTGAAGAGCCCCCCGCTGTCTGGAAGATCCTGATTCTGAAGGCCTCTCTCACTGCCTCCCATGTAAACGGGTCCTGGGCCGTACCAAGCCACGGGTCCCCTCCCTGCCACCAGGAGAATGACCTTGGGAGTTGCTCTTGACAGGCTGGGCTCATGCATTGCACTGAGCTGCTGTTGAACATTCAGCCACTTGGTTGATAAAACGGTTGACGGTTTTGTGGGTTGCACAAACTCAGCTGATAATCTTTTGTGGAATAATCCGATTCAGCAAGTCACGGCTTTGTGTAATTTATAAATTCAGTTGTAGTTAATTTAAAATAACGATCAGTGCTAAACATGATTAGTCTCGGCAGTCCAGCATCGTTTTGAAGTGGGCTTGGTTGAAAATGAGCCTTGTTGGTTGCACCAGATGGCAGGACAAGCTGCTCTGAAGTAAACATGTCCAGAGCCTGTCTTTTTATTCTTGTCGTGAGATGGTATTTGGCTGTTTATTTCATTGTTTTTTATTGAAGATGTATAACTCTTTGCTCCTTTGGAAGGAAAGGGGAGATGTGTGTGTGTGTGTGTGTAAATATAAATGTAAACATAAATAAAACAGTAGGTTACTGTCTCTTTAGCTGGATATGCTAAACTCCCTTTGGTATAAAATAAAATTATATAATGGATTTTTTTAGCAGACATTTTTGGCCATCAAAAATAGTTTTTGCAAAACAAACGTTTGGAGTACATGTTAGGGTATGTATGTACTTTCAATATCTTGTTCCGCATAAGAAGCAGAACTGATCGTGGGTGTCTGCAGCAAAGAGAGCTTAAGCAAAATCAGGCCTTCCGTATTTGCATCCCGACCTGCGGTTTTTGCATTTCATCATTCACCCGCCCACCCACTGTCCCCAGATGCCTGTGCAATTGATTATTGGGATCAAATTGCTGTGTCCTTTGTGAAATATTGAGGAAGACTTTATAGCTGGAGGTCTGATTCTACTGTGGGATCTAGCACAGGCACCGTCGTTCTTATTTTTTGCTTATTGATTTTGCAGCCAGATGAATACGACATGCTGGTTAGAGAGCTTGGATTTGAAATGAAGATGCAGCCCTCAGACAGGATGAAAACTGAAGAAGAGTTGGCAAAAGAAGACCAAGAGAAACTCCTGCAATTAGAGGTATTGCATGTACTTGTGTTTTACTTAATCTTGAAATTCTTTCAGCAATTGTATTTATGCTTGTTTTTATCTATAATAGTGTCAGCTCTATAATAGGATGCAGATCTGTTCTGTTCATCGTTAGGAAAAACCCGTGTAATAATTAGTTGGTGTTTGTCCCTGGGCAGGCAGAGAACAGCTAAAAATATCCAACCACAGCTGCCTGTGGCAGTCTTGTGTTCCTTTCGCTTAAGAGGGCCACCTTGCCTGCCTTTCAATGAGTCTGGAAAACCTGGCTCTTCCCCCAGTCTGGCCGGCCCCTTAGGTTAGAGGGTGGGGTAAGTGGCTTCCTCCAAATGATCGTTGCTCTTTTTATGTGAGATCTGAAAGGCTGCCCCCCTCCCCCGCCCATGGCACTCTGGAAGTGTGCTATTCTCCAGGCCTTGGGGTAGGATAGAAGGAACCCCTTAGGAGATGTGTTTGCCACACATTCATATGCTTTGATGTTAGTGGTCTGAATTTGCCATTTTTGTTTATTTTTATCATATTGTGTTGGGTTTTTTTTTTTTTAAAATATTGTGAGCCGCCTAGGCTTGGTGCCAAAGTTGAATAGACTAAAAGTAATAAAATGCTGTTTTTTACCTGTTTTTACATCATGAAACTGCCCAGAGTAATTTTGGAGTTGAGTGGCCTAGGATTTGAATTGGGGAATCAGTTCTGGGAATAAAAACTGGCTGCCATGAGGAAGCCAATGAATCAGCGATCGTTCAAGCGCTAGAGTTCATCCAGAGCTTCCCAGCCCAGCGCCCGTTGGTGGCAGAATCCTGGAGAGATTCCCTCTGCAGTTCCGGTTCTGCCTGCGGGGTACTCCAGACTTGCAGTTCTGGAACTGCCCTCCCCTTGGCCTTTTCCTGGACTGAATGAGGAGGTGCCCTGTGGACAGTCTGTTGGCCTTCTCTTGGTGCTTTCAGTCTGATACGCCCCCACCCCAGTCTTGGTTGCTGGGTGTCGCTCCTTATGTCCATTTCCCACCCCCCAGATTTCAGCCCCCCTTCCTGGGTCACCCACCTTCCTTTTAGATCTGGTGATTGGAATAAATCTAATTTACTCCTGTTGAGCCCAAGCCATAACTAACAGACTTGAAACCCAGGCTGGGGTTTGAAGTGGCTGAAAAGCAGGGCAAAGAAAAACGAAAAACTCTCAGGATCATTTTTTCTTAATTGAGTTACGCTGGAGGAAGTTTCTTACTGTGTTCTAGTTTATTTAGTAGAGAGCTGTATTAATTGGGAATCCAGAAGTAGAGTCACTAAAAGAGCATTTGTAGCATCGTTTCAAGGATCTGTTTCCTTGCAGGCTGACCGCTTACGTCGAATGAATGGAGATGAACAAACGGAGAGCAGAAAGAAACCGAAGCACATGTCAGCTGATGATTTGGCAGATGGGTTTCTCCTGCACAAAGATGACCGACCCTTGCTGTCTTACAGCGTATGCTTTTCGTCCTTTTTACATTGCAGAGGCCCAGTTTAGTCTGAAGGCTGGGTGTCTTCCTAGGGGTGCTTATGAATTCTGCTTCCTTGTTGCTGCACAGCAGCCTCTTCCTCCCTCCCGCTTCCCAGATAGGTTGGATCTTGCTTCCTATAATTCAGCGCCATGCTGGATTATCACCCCAAGGTTTTAGGCTGCCATATCCCAGAATTCCCAGCAACAGGGAATCCAGACAGTTGCCATTCTAACAGTGAGTGCGCCATTGAGAAAAGCGGCTCTCCGTGTATTGTGCACAGCTGGGTAGAGTGGACCACCAGAAAATCCATGGGGTGTCTCGTACAGGACTCCAAACTAAAGCTCTCTAACAGATAATGTCTAGCTGCCCCTAGACACGTAGAGATATCTAGGATCCCACCACTGCTGTGAGCTGTCTTACTGTCAGGAAATTATTTCTAACATTCAGTCAGAATCGGCATTCTTGGAACTTAATCCATTATTCTGCACTCCAGAACAAGGGAAACTTGGCTGTCTCTGTAGCAACCTTTCTGGTGTTATCCCCCATCTGGTCTCAGAGAAGAACATTGCATTTTCCTTTGTTAAATTTCATTCTGTTACACATTTAACAAGATTGTTTTGAATTTTGAAATAATGCATATCTATTATACTACAGCATATGATTTGCTAGAGAACAGCAAGTAAGGAAAACAGAAAGGTTGTTCACCTGTTGATTTTCCTGTCTATGCTCACTAAACTGGTACAGTTGTGTTTATTACTGAATATTAGCAGGGGAGGGGGCTCTTACTACAGGGGGGTCAAATTCCCTTCTGAGGAGGTCATCAGCAAAGTTGTCTGTCTGGTAAGCAGTTGATCCATTTTAATGCACCAGCTATCTAATTAAATAATCTCTATGATTTCATAGAGTGACAAGGATGATGAAGATGGAAAGGGAAAGGAGGAGGATAGTGAGAACAAAGAAAGTGAAGAAGAGTCTGGTACTGAAACCGAGGCCAGTAACAATCCCTCTGAACGTGACGCCAATGAAGAGACGATCGTGGGAAAGATGCTTTCAAAAGGCAAAAGGCTAATCGAGAGACGAAATGCTGTCAAGGAGGCTGCCCAGCTGGAGCTGCCGTATTTGTTTGCTGGTAAGAAGATCTTGTTGCTGCCCCGATCGGAAGGCTCCAGGAAGCCTACGGTGGCAAAAGTCCAATCTGCAGCAGTAAAAATAATGCGCGACCAGTTGTGAAATCACAACCCTCAAACTGGCAGAGGAACAGCAGCCCTGAATACTGCCCCTGCTCCCTACAAGCTCAGGGGAAGAACAAGGTCTTAACCAGTTTCTGAAAGAATAACGGGGGGGGGGGGCTTCCTCGGCTCCCTCAGTGGACAGAGGGTGGGTGTCTTCAGCAACGGTGGCCCCGCAGGGAATGGGTGGAGGC